GGTAAAAACATACCATTACTATAAAAATTAGTATTGTATCAATAAACTTACAAAATAACCAGACTAACAGTTTAACTTTACGTTATAATTTCCACATCTATTAAAATGTGTTCTTTTTCTTTAAGACATTTTTCCTTGCACCTTCCATTTTCCTGTTTCAATCTAAACTAATTGTCCCTTAAGTCTGATGCAAAGTTAAGGTTCTGAGACTCACCATGCCCTTTGCCCTGGGCTGTACCTACTGCTGATTAGATCCTACTGCTCATGTCTTTATTCTGGTGGTGCACATCTTTCAGGAGCTTTCTGAAAAAAGAGGGCATAAGAAACATTTTTGAAAATTTGCATTCATGAAAACATTTATCATAATCTCACATATGACTAAAAATTTGGTTGGTAGGGAATTCTGGATTGACCTGTTTTTCCTCCTCAGCTTTTTGAAGGCTTTTCTTTGTTGTGTTTTTTTTTTTTTTTTTTTTTTTTTGTCTCTTGACTGCAAATACCGGTTCCTAATCCTGAGACTCCTTTTATCCCTCTTGCCCAATTTTAGAATCCTTTAGAAACACACTGATGTACTTTGGTGCTGTTATGAATGTGTGCCCCCATTCATAAGCTGAAACCTAACCCCCAATGTAGTAATATTGAGGTATTACCTTTATGAGGTAAATAGGTCCTGAGAGTAGATCATTTATGAATAAGATTTTGGTTTCTTACGTAAAAGTCCCTTTATATAAAAGCTTAAGGACTAGGGATTTAGCTTAGTGGTGCTGCCACCTGCCTTGCAAGCACAAGGACCTGATTTCGATCCCTAGTACCAAAAATTTAAAAAAGCTTGTTTACCCTGAGGAGGTGTTATAGTCAGCAGGATTTGGAAAGAGAATACATTAAATACAAGACACATAAATTATTTTATGATAATTACCCAAAGAGTTAAATGCAAGGAGTACAACAGATTAACTGCATGCTACAAGCCCAAAACATTCAACTGAGGGCCTAGATCCCAGCAATTTACCACACAAGTCCAATTAAAGGCTTAAATCCAAGGCAATGACCTCCTCGAGTCCAGTCAATGGCCTAGAGTCTGCGGCAACTACTTATGCTTATCCATATTGGGGATCTGCAGCTGGAACAGGCCCAACAACCAGTGGTGGAATCTAGAAAATCTGTGCTCTTGAGATGAAGGATCTGTACCACCAAGCTGAGGGATCCACATTGGAGCCAGGAAGTGATGCTCATGGTAAAGATCAAAGCTCCCCTGATGAAAGCAGAAGCCGTTTGCAGTGACAGTGAGGTTCTGAGCTTCTCCGACAGCAACAGCCTAGTTCGAATTAGGAAAACCATCCTTAGCAAGCTTCTCCTAGAAAATCAACAGGCTAAGATCTTCCTCCCTGGTTCTCTCTTTACGGCTATTGGTAACAATCTTCAGGGGGATCCTCCATGCCCAGACCACACTGATTCAGTTCAGCTGGGCATTACAAGTTAACCATTATTAGTTAATCCACTACAAGACGAAATAGCAAGAAGGTATTTCTTGTATGGGGCAACAGGTCCTTCCCAGGCACTCTGCAGGGCGCTTGATCTTGAACTTCAAATTTCCAAACATAAGCATTACTTGTAAACCACAGTTTATGGCATTTTGTTATAGCAACCCCAAAAGGGATTAACATTCCCACAAACTCATATGTTGAAATTCTAATTCCCAATGCAACAGTATTAAAGAGATGGAGCCTAGGAAGTAATTAGGATCCTCTCATAATGGGATTAGCATTCTTGTAAGAGGCCCTAAAAAGCTAGCTAGTCCACTCTACCATATGAGGACACAACCAAAAAATCAATGTCCTCTAAAACAAGAAATAGGCCCTTACCAGACACATCTGCCAGTACCTTGATCTAGAATTTCATAGCTGCCAGAAGTGACAGAAATACATTTCTGGTGTTTATAAGGTACTTAGTTGATGGCACTGTTATAGTAGACCAAATGGAGACATTTGATATGGATTTTTTTCATTCACTGCTATGTACCTGGTAGGCCCTTCACCTGGAAATGCATGCTTTTCTAAACTAAGTAATTTTAAGAAAAATTAGGGAGTGGCAATTGCTTCCTATAAATTTTGTTTTGTAGAGACTGGAGCTAGTCTCTAATTTTTACCTTTTATTTTCCATCTTTTTAATTCCAGTTTTTTGGGAATACTTTCAACTTTATCTTCCAATAGTTTAAGTATTCAATTTTTATAGTATTTAAAATATATCCAATATTTTCGTTCCCAAGTGGCTTTTTTTTGTGTGTGCTCATATTCTTGATCTTTTATTTGCTTCTGTGGCTTAGCCTGGGTTCCCTAAAAGTAGAGTGTGACAGATGCTTATATGCAGGCAATTCTGAGGGAATATAATCCCAGGAAAGTGTAGATGATGTGGACCAAACAGAGAAGAGGCACAAGACACAAGAAAATGTAGTAGGGAGTTGGTTACTGTTACAACTGACTCTCAATCCCATGGGACATTCTGAGAGATTCTTTTGAAATATTCTCAGAACTGTCTAAGGTAGAAAAAGGAAGCAGCAGTCATGCTATTCACATCAGGGATAGTGTTAGTTTTACCTTACTTCTCAGCTTCATGTATGAGGGCGGCATTAGTCACTTTCTTGTTACTGAGACACAATACCTGAAACTCACAATGTAAAGAGATGTTTATTTGGTTCATTTCTAATTGGCTAAGTCTATAGCTGGCTATGTCTAAGGCAGAAAGAAGATGGTGGAAGGGCATGGTAGAGAAAAATCCTACTCACCTCAGAGAAGACAGAAAACAAAAAAGGAGGAACTAGGGGCAAGAATACACCCGTCTAGATCATGCCTCTAGTGACTACCTCTTCTGGCCATATTCCACCTTGAATGCAAAAGATTTTTGGGGGACATTTTAGATCTACAACATAACAAAGGCCAGAGGGTTCCTAATACATTCCAGCCGCAGTGGCAAAGAAGTCTCAGGGCAGGGAGAAGGGCACATCCAGGGCTGGAACCAAGTCTGTATCCTGCTACAATTCATTGAAGATTGTTAAGAATGACCAGCTTCAGAGCTGGGGATTTAGCTCAGTGGTTACTCTGTCTGTCTGTATGGCAAGGGCAAGGTCCCGAGTTCGATCCCCAGCACCAAAAGAAAAAAGAATGATTAGCTTCTGCTGGACATGGAGGCACATGCCTGTAATCACAGCATTTGAGAGGCTGAGGCAGGAGGACTGATGTTAAGCTTGAGGCCAGCCTGTGTTACACACTGAGTTCAATGCCAATGCCAGTCTAGCTTACATAGCAATAGCATCTCCCCCACCCCCCAAAAAAAAAGAAACGACTGGCTCCTACCACTGGGGCTGGAGTAAGTGGTAGGCTAAGAGAATGCTGAAGGGATACACAATGGTGTCTAGTATGTCTCCAGCAATGATGACTATGTTTTCCCTATTTGTGATGTTTGTTTAGGTCTTTATCTTTCATTTTTAGTAGTTTTTTGTAAATGCTTGATTTCAGGCTGTCTGCTGAGGTGCAAGGTCCAAAACACCCAACAACTTTTGGGTGCATAGAAGTTTTTCAACAGAAGGGTTTTTACTGCAGCATGATATGGAGATGTCTCTTCTTGGGCTTATTTCCTAGGAAGAACAGACTAGAATCTTCTGCCTTACGATAGAATATTATGAGGTATAGGAGCAGAGGGGTAAAGTGGGCTAAAGTATCACCATTAAGTGTTCTTTAGAATAATCTCTGTTCAGTACCCCTGTCCTCAGTTGTGTTTGTACCTGCTGTCTCCTGCATGACAAACACCACCAGCTAAGGTTTGTGGATGGTAAAGGGGGTCTAACTGTGTATGGATTTGATATGGACTTAAAGACAATCCTACTTTCACTCCTATTATTGCCTCCAATTTCCAAAATTTTTTTAGGTTCACGCTTCCATGATCTTTCCTTTGCCAACTCAATTTCGGATTTCTCAGGTTTGTTTAGTAACATAATGCTCATTCACAAGCTTTCCAGCTTCCCACATTTTGTAGCTGTAATCTCCTTTAAGTGTGTCATTTCTTAAAAACTTGTCATTTTAGTGTGATTTGAAAGAGCACAAATATATATTCGATAATCTATGTTTAACTGGAAGTTTCAGTCCTATTTTCCAAAATGCCAAGAAGTTTTGTTATTTAATACCCTTTACTGTGTACCACTCATAAATAAACATCATGAGACTGATGAGAAGGATGTTAATTACCTCTTTGTCTTGCCATACTCTACTGGCTCCTTGCTATTTCCCAAACACGTCCTTGTGTGTGGGCCCCTCTATTGGATTACTCTTGCCTCACAAGTCTCCATGAGTCTTTTCTCTCTTCCTATGATTTTTGTTCAATGTTATTTCATTGGTGATGCCTTCTTTTACCCATTTATATAACACAGAAAGTTAAACTTAGACTGTTCCCTGCCACCTTCTATTATATTTACTCAGCTTTTTTTTCTCCACAGCAAGTATCATCCTTGGCATATATTTACTGTTTCCCCCCTTGAGATATGCACATACACTATTCATTATTTTTGTTTTTGTTTCATGAGACAGGATTTCGCTATGTGGTGTAGGCTGGCCTTGAACTCAGTATATAGCCCGGCTTGGTCTTGAAATCATGGGAATCCTCTTGTCTCAGCTTCCCCAGGGGTAGGATAACAGGCATGTGCCACCACACTCGGCTAGAGATACATTATTCTTGATGTGTGAAATAAGTGAGCTCCAGAACAATTCAATGACTTTCTAAGTATCAAAAATATGAGTATATATTAAATAAATGAACATTAACAGCTGTTTTAACAGTGATAAAATATACCTTTATTTACTTTTTTGAGTCAGAGGGTAGTAAAAAAAATTATTGCTAAAGTAGATATCAGGCAAACAGAAAGGTGCTTTAGAAATCCAGTTACCTTTGAGTTTATTTAAACTAAGAGGAAACAGTCATAATGTTTTCATGCAATACATACTTCGTTCTTTAAATAATTGTGACAAATAGCAGAAAGAATTAAGGATTACTGTACTTGTGATACATACAACACCAACATTTTGGGTTTTACATAATTAAAGAAAATACCTCACTTTTAAAATACTGTAATAGCCAATACACAGAGGCATGCCTTAGGTGGGCACAGGAATGCAATTTAGAAAAGGAAAAAAACAAATCACACTGGAACTACACAATGTCTTTAAAATCACTGAGCAAGAAAATCAACACTGAACTTACATACTGATTTAACACAACTTCTATACAGTACCTTGACTTAAATCCAAGAGCAAAAGTTAAGACTCTCCTCCCCTATTTTTGGTAAACAACTGTATGGTAAACTTAGAGGATTTTCCCCCCTGGATTTTACCTGGGAGTGGCCTGTTTAATATTTTATTTAAAAGAGGGCAGGTTTGGCACTTTTATACTGATGTCACCAATGTTAATATTTCTTGGGATCTCGGGAAGATTCATATTCTTTACAGCTGATACAGCACGGGCTGGAGCTCCTGCTAAGCCAGCCTGTATATAGAAGTAAATAAAAAAGAAAGAAAGAAAATGTATAACTCAGCTATAGCGCATCATAAAAAACTTACAAAGGAAAACAATGATAAAAAATTTTCACATAAGCTTAGAGACCAGATGGTATTTTGAATTGGCATGAGATGGTTACTTTGAGATACTAATCTATAAGAAGAAAAAAACTGACATTAAAAAATAGTGAATACATGCAATAACAATGTAGAATTTAAATACAAATTGTGTACTACGCAGTTACCACACACAATATTCACAAGACAAAAGCTAAGTTTTTAGGTATATCTTGATTTACTTGATATATAATATAAACACAATGTATAATTTACATTAGTTTATTTATTAAATATCTCATGTAGCAATTTTGAATTTTTCCTTTTAAAATGGCATTTATTATCAACATATGCTATGAAATAAAAAATTGAAAGTAACAGGCAATACTTATTTATTTTATTTATCCAGGGCTAAACCCTTAAAACATTTAAAAACAGTAAAATTAGATTTTAAAATTGTAGGGCTCTTCTAAAATTTTTAAAGAAAGTTCTAGAAAATTTTTAAAAATCAGGCTTTTAAGTGAAGCCTCAAGCCAAAGAGAACGGGTCTACTTAAAGATGAAACTGTAAGAACATTCCAACCTTTTAATCCACTAGTGAAAATCTAATTATTAAAACTGTTCTTAAAAAAAAAAAACTGCTCTCATTAACAGCTACAACAATATATATTCAGTTTATAGTTTACAAATTTAGAAAAAGAACATACATAAATAAACTAAAATTTCCAGTAAGTACCGCTAGTACATAATATTTGGCTTCCCTCTTAGTGGGAAAAATTTTTCATTTGTAAAATAATTTTGGAATAAAATATGCCTAAAAGAAAAAATATATACATAACTTTTATGGAACAGTTAATAGCCTTCATGTTTAAGATTTAATTTAAACCTCAATAAGATTTCATCACTTTATAGAGTTAAAGAAAAATAATTTCATCACTTTTTATATAGTAAAGCAAGCCAACAAATACATGTGAGCTCAGTGGCATTATCTTGCATCAAAGTTGACAAGTAATAAAAACAAATTTTCCATTTGTTTAGATTGAGTATCTGTAAAATTAAAGTCCTTTTTCAAAAAATTTTTATGTAATCCTACCTCTTTTGTTAATTAAAATATTAATAATAATAAAGCTGTTACCTGAGAAAAATCTTGACTGATACAAAATAGGCCAGTGTAAACTACTTGCTGAATAAAGGATACAAACATTGTTAAGCAATGAAATAAAAGCCACAGATTATCAATCATTAATTGGAACAGAAAAACTGGTAAAATAGGATTAAGAGCTATGGTCCACATAGGCAATGGGAAGGGTGACATGAATGAAAAACTCCAAACCCAAAGAAAGACCAGAGAGGGCTGGAGAGTTCAATTTTTATAATTTAATGGATTTTGGTTGTTTCTGATGTACAACTAACAATGTGACTGACTTCTACATTTATACCTACCTGAAGCAATGAAGTTTATGTTATATCTCACTTCCTTCCTGCTCCCTCAAAAGATGTTAAAGATACAGCTATTATTTAAGGTGGCATGTATCATATTCAAAAGGCTCTTTAATTTGATCAGTTCAAATTAAAGGTCTACATACCAAATTTTAGAATGGTTTGGGATAAATTAAGAATCCAGTTCAGGGGCTGGGGATTTAGCTCAGTGTCACACCGCACTTGCCTCACAAGGTCCTGAGTTCGATCCCCGGTACCCCGTCCCACACAAAAAAAATCCAGTTCAAAGAGGTTTACCACCTTATAAACATTTTTTAAACCAGAAAGTATGTTGTCTGATAAGGGAATTAAACTTTTTAAATTTCAGACATACTGGTATGGCATCACTTTTCTAGGTAAAAGGATTTTGTAATTTTTCTAACTAAAAGATCAATTTACACTACTTTTACTTTGGAGATTTGATGAGGTACAATTAAGTGGACTTTAGAAAAGTAATGATAAAATGTTTGAATATATTTTAAAAGTTACAAATTCTAAAGGACTTCATTATTTTAGAGAGAAACAATTGTGTTTCTGTATATTTTACTGGATTCTATGATTTATATTTATAAATAGTAAGTTAAGTTTTAGTGTTAAATATTTGTCTTGAAGCTTTATTTTCCTTAATTCCCTGTACTAGAGACAGCTAAACTAAGCTTAAGCAAAGAAAATAAGAATAAAAAATGCATCCTGCTAAGTATCATTAGATTAAGTTGCTCTTTTTGACCAAAGATGGTTTCAACTGTAGGCTGCTAATGAGAATATATAAAGTCAACATAGCAATTGATTTAAATAGCATATATGTGCCTTATTATGTAAAACCAGAAGTTTCTAAATGTGCACAAAAATCGATAATCCCTCTGAATGTAAGCAGCAAGCCATAGACATGCAAAGGATGGGAACTATTTAGAACACGCAAATGAATTTAAAGAGAATCAAATTATTTCTCAAGCATGTCCAAAACTTTTGTGTAGTATATTGTGAATTTAAGTGGTTGGATATTTTAACATTGTAGTACATACTTTAATGAAGTTTGATAAAGCTAACATTTTAGGAAATCAGATTCTGAAGAATATAAAATGTGAAACAGTATGAGGACTATGATCAATAAACAGATGCTTAAATGGGGAACAATGTTTATATGTTAAAAACTATGGCTTAAAAAGAAATAGTATGTTATTCAGGCTAACACCAGAATGGTTAAAAAGTAAACTTCATTTTTCAGACTCCCATGAAAATAAAGTCTGAAGCACTTATTAACATATAAAATGCAAGAGATAATTTGTCATTAAATCCATTTTCTGGCAAAAAGGATAAAGTAATTATGTTAAGATTTTTTTCAGTAAAGATATACTCAAAGCAATAGGATAACTTTCACTCACATTTAACTTTTTCAACACTAAAATTTACCAAAATTAAGTTTACCTGACCTGTTAGTAATACATAAAATTAAAAAATATAAAATAAAGTATTCTTGAAAGGACAACATAGTTCTTAAAAGATTTAATATTACATAGTTGACATAAAGCAAAAAATGATGAAATTCAACTGGAGAAATAACTTGTTTCCATCTATGTTATACTATGTTATACATGGTAGGTAGACTGCAGCAATTCCACTAACGAAAACAAATACATGAATCCAAAGCAGTTAAAAAGTGTGAACTGGATGGAAGAATGAAGTACACTATATAAAAGAATGGTCATGTTTTCTCTCCCATGAGATTAAATAAATTAACAGAATTAAGAGAAAGAAAACAAAATGAAGTCTGCAAGTATACCAAAATGAGGCCAAACAGATAGAAGACTTATACAGACATACTCTTGGGAATTTCAAGCACTCAAATCACAAAGATAGTAATGGATGGATATGATTTTTTTTATTTCATTTTTTAATTGCCAGACCCAAAAATAAACAAAATATGTGCAAGCAAAACTGAAAAAGCAGCATTGCTAAATACATTTCAAAGAACCTGAAAGCTCAATTTTCCTCATGCAATAAGCAATGAACTTTCTGGAAGGGAAAAGGAAATTAACAATCTAGTTATTTATTTCATGTAACTAAATTATCATCCTACCATCTTAAAATATTTTCATCAAGTTTTAAATATTGAATAATAAGATGGTAGCTGGAATAATTTGTACATACTAAAACCTTTCCTCACCCTTCCTGCTGGAATATGCACGTTAATAATTTTGACCTAACAACAAGTGAAAGAACATCAACATTAATAAACATGGTATTAAATGGTTTCAGACTCAAAATCTTTAACAAAATAATGGCAGATTTTGAATGCATATTTTTGAGCAAAACAAAATTTCAGTGGTTTGAGTGTGAGGCAGAATAACAATATGGGGATCTATAATAGGCTTGTTCTTTGCTTTAAAGTCCATACGTCAATGTTACAATTATATACACATTAAAACTCTGATGACAATCTCCTAGTGAGCAAGAACTACAGCACTTTATAGACAATTTTATCAAAATTAGGATGTTTAAAAATTTAAAACCTTAAAATGACTAGTCATTTTATACATTATAGTTTTAACTTCTAACAAGATTTGTCTGTGAGAAACACATGGACTAATGACATTCTGAATTTATTAAAAACTAGATTTGATCATTAGAAGTGACTTCAACATAATTTTGTAGAAGAAAAAAATGTGTATAATAAATGTGTACGTCAACATAGAGGGGGAGAATCGACATGACTTCCCACATCTTAAGGACAGTTTTCCTATTCTATACTTTGAAAATAGATTCATCAGTTTTGTTTTTGTTTTTTTTTTAAAGCCAATTACTCGTTCTAGAGATAGAAGTTAACAGACTCAAGTGGTTGATGGCTCCTCTCCTAGAAAATACCAGTTTAATATAAAGTGAAAACTGCAACACGTAGAAACTGACAGCGATCTCCATCAGCACAATGAATGAGATCACTATGTATTTTCCATACCAAGGGTAAAGTAACATGGTACAGGAATAAAAAAAATGGCACCCTAGCTTTCCTATACAGTGCATAATCTCAGTATAAGATATTATAAAGTTAAATGTATATTGTTATTTCTCAAATTCAGAGAATAATATCCCAAATTCTTAATGATACTTTTCTAATTACTAATGTGGGTAATTGATCTTGTTAAATTATATTTTTCCTTCCACAGAATTCAAATTTTCACCTGGAAAGTTTTAATTTAAAGCTTACAAGCATTTTTTTACTCTTTTCTAACGTGGATTTGTTAAATAAAAAACTACTCATTACCATCTATTTGGAATTTTTAAAAACGGAATTCACTCTGTTAACTTATGGTATGAAAAACATACAGAAAAACAGAAAAAAGTTTTGCAAAGCTAAAAGTCTATTAAAAACATTTTCAGGTCCAGGGATTTAGCTCAGTGGCACCGCGCCTGCCTCGCAAGGTCCTGGTTTCGATCCTCGAATCCACACACAAAAAAATTCCAATATTTTTGCAATTCTTTGCAAAATATTCAAGTTTTACATCATGTGACTGATCCTGATTCTGACATATTTAGATGTCAGAAGGTTTGCTACAGTACAAATCCATTAAATTTTGGTCATTATATTTATTTTTAGAAAATTTAATTCTTTTAGATTCTGATCTTCCATTTTGTTGGCCATTATTAATATGCACCTATAGGTCAAAACTGTAAAAGTAATTCTGTTAAGACTTTGGAACTGAAAACCATTTTGAGGTGGAGAGTGTACTATTTAAATTATTATTCTAACCCATCACTACCTCCCACCTTGTACACAGAACTCTAGAGGTTCAGCTTTTGGGTTTTAAATTTATAGACTCCAAAACCCAGGAGGTGATTTCATGTTAAAATTCTAATTTAGAAAAAGAAAAAAAAAATCTAATTTAGAGATGGATAATTAAGGTTGGTTCTGCTATATCATGCTCAAAATAAACTAAGTTTTCATATTCAAAGTATATTGTCATTTGTACAATCTGTCAGTTAAATGACAATTTTTTTAAAAGAAAAGAAAAATTTAAACTTTCCTTTTACAATGCAGGCAGACAAAACAGAACAAACATGACATTAATGATATACTACTAAAATACACTAAGTCCAATAAAAGATGAAGAAACTACAGGAGAAATTAGAATGAAAAATAGGCTACAGGGACTATATGGGTTCATTAACACAAAGAATTTTTGAGTCTGGCCTAAATAATTAATTGCCTTTGACATCATTTTGCTTTCCCTTTGTTAAAGTACATTTTTCTCAAAGTCAGCAATACCTTGTCTACCTGTCCTGTCTGGGAGACTGAAAGATAAAGGTCTGTAAGAGAGAAGAATGGAAAGAGCTAAAAAGATCAGGATGTTCAGAAAAAGAGGACTAACTTTTAAAAAGTAGTGACTAAATTCAGACCCATTTATCCATCTTAAAAATAACATGAAATATATAAAAACTAACAACTTTCCCCAACTGCCCCCCTCTACCTCCACCAGCCCCCCACCCCATCCCAGGGAGGTCTTTTTATTTTTAGGCAGATTTGTGGATGCTTCTTAAAATTTCCCACAAATCCCACCCATCTCCCAGCTTATGCCCCCTCCCCCAAGATCCCATCTATAATAAATCACTTTTTCTATCAAAACAGACTGAAAGAAAATATATTCAGAATACGTCTTTCTCATTTCTTTGAACATCTTGCAGATCTTTGCTTGAATCTGTCTAGGTGTTGAATTAACTGGTCACTTTCTGCAAACTCTGAAAATGCACTGCCTCTAACTAAATACAATAAAAAATCTCTGATTTGACAGGCACCTAGATAAATCCACGTATCTAAAAGCTGTACTTTAATAATATTCAGATGAGCTTTTAAAAAAGATAAATTCTACTCCTAAAATACTGCTTGTATGACTTTTAAAATACAATAATCAGTTCATAAACAATGATATTCAGAATTTTAACTTTTTCTTGTTAAGTTTTTGCTTCATAATGTCTTAACTGAAATTTAGTAAGAGATTAGTAAATTCATATTTTGCTATCAAATAATTTTGGATCAGTCTACAGTCATGCCTCTCATAGATCTAACTAGTAACATGGAAATGAAAAGCATATGAAAAGTTTTGACACTTTCAATATGTTTGGAATAAAGCTGGTAGACTTCCAAACATACTTAAAATATGTGATAATTACTAAAAAAATTACACAAAGTCAATATAATTTTCAAGACTTCCTTAAAATATGAACAGAACTAAATGAGTTTACTTTAATTTAAAATTCTATTTCATAATTAAAACATTAGCAGATAAAACAGGAAGAGAAGCACCTGGCAATATAATTTTGTGGTTCATCCCCAATCCAATTAAAACATACCTTCTTGTAAGGTTCAGGGAAAAAAACGAATTTGGTAATAGATAACAACTGATCATACTTCTTAAAAGACGATCAGTGGGTGAACAATAGAAGCATTCACCAGAGTTCTAAACTACTTAAATAGGCCTGTTTCAGTAAAAAGTTTTTAAAATGTAGTAATTTTATAACTATTGTAGTCAATAAGAAATATGAATTCTGCATTTTACTGCTTGCCTGCCTGCCTGCCTCCTTCCTTCCTCTCTCTCTTTTAATTTATTTTATTTTATTTTTTTATTTTTTGGAAAATAGGGTCTTCTTATGCAGTCCAGGCCAACCTTGAATTTCGATGGCCTAAGCCTCCCACGTAAGGATTGTAAGTATGTGTCACCATGCCCAGCTTACCATTCCTTATAGATAAGAAAACCTGTCACATTAACAAAGTTTTACTGGACAGTCAAAAAGCAAATATACATAATGTACTTGTTCTAGGTCCTTCATGACTTTTGTAAATACTGCATACAGCTCACTAAAGAGCAAATGGTAGAAAGGAACACCACCAAAGGAAGGAGGCAAGTACCTGGAAATGTGAAAATTGCAGACAAACTGGTAAATATATTTTTACTGATGATGGCACAAATTCACAAATGATCCATTCATTTTAGACTCTTTTTTAATGGATTATGTCACTATACCTTGGCATTTAAAAACCTATACCTATAAAGTCTGCATATATTTAAAGTTATTGTAAGACTTTATGGCTTGCTTAGGGTTTAGTTTATCTTTTATTCTACTAAATAATATATCCTAAGTCAACTATACTAAATAATATTCAGTCATTTTCCTTCTTCTTAAGCAAAATTTTCTCCATGAACCTACTCTGTTTTCCCCTTTCAAAAATCGGTATTTTTAAAATATGCTACAGAATATACAAAATATTCAGTATAGTTACATAAAATAGTCCTATATTTAAGATCTTCATCATCATTACAAGGCTCTCCTTTGGGAAATCAATAGGAATAGCAAATTGAAATACGGGAAGTGTTTTTATATAAACTGTTTCTAACCCTCCAATTTCAGACTTATTCATCATTATGTGCTTCCTTTAATTCAATTAAGCACAGAAATGTGTCAAATTCATCCTTTAAAATGCCAACAAGATAAAAACGTTGAGAAATCTCATTGTAAATTAATGTTATAGTATTATCTTGCTTTTTATAGTAATATTTACCTAAAACAACCAAACATCTGAGCTCATGCTAATAACTGTGAATGTTTTTGCAATCTGAGTTGTGAGCATAACAAATATAATAACCTCAAATAAGGACAGAATTGAATGAGTTAGCAGGATAATTCACCTTTTTAAAATCTGCTACAATAAGAAACAATCAAAATAATGTCAACTTAAGTAGTTCAACCACATTCAGCCTATTCTTATAGCGAGACATTAAAATTCTAAAGTAGCATTTTATATCATATTAAATGTTAGTGTCTTTAGTCACCCATTCTAACACTGAATTTAACAAGTATAAAAACAAAAATCTTTTCTCTTTTTAATAAAAATAAAATAATAAATGTACATATTAATGTATAAAATGTGACAACCTGCCAGTGACCTTTACACATGATCCAGAAATAAAGATGAAGATAATGAATTTCTCTTTTCAATATACACTAAGACTTACTAAGCATCTATTGTAACTTAAACATTACTCCCTCTTAAAAATTTCAGTTTTTCTCCTTTCCTTTTCTTGAAACAAAGTAAGTAATTGTGTTTATTACCCAAGGCAATCACAACTGTGATTAAAAGAATAAATAAAACTATTTGGTGGTAATATTCACAGGACATTTAACATACTAAATTTGTATATTTCATTTTTAAAAACAGAGTAAGCAACACTACCTATACCTAGAGGGCAATACTGAATGACAAACAGTGAAAGCTACAATCATGCATCATTTATGATAATGCTTAGAACTTTCTATAACTAAAGTATTTGCCATTCTTACCTCAGATTTCTCAAGTTTATTTTGTGCATCAATTTGTGTAACAATTTCATTCATGTTGGTCTCCAATACCATCCCCCCCATCACCATTTCTGCAAGAATATTGTGAACCTAAAGTAAAAAATAATATAAATAAACAAAGATACTTCAATACACAAAGTTCCACATTTCAGTAGTTTTTGTTTTACGTATTGCTGTCATAAGTATTAACAGTAAAAATAATTTAGAAAGTTAATAATTCACTTTCATCATTGTGAAGCTGTGGGCCATTATGTAACCTCTGTAAGTCTTAGTTTAATAGGCTGAAAAACACAGATAATAGTACCTTCTCCAAAGGACTGTTGAAAGATTAAATTTGTAGAAATATCCAGAACAAAGTAATTGATAAATATTAACAATAGCAATTCTTCCTTTTTTAATAATGTCACTTACTAAGGTTCCAATCACTTGCAGTCACCTCTGGTCTTAATAAATTAAGCAGAAAATTCAATAAACAATTTGTGTTTTTAAATTGCATGCCTGACGAAATTTTGGCGACACAACTCTGTCTTGTTCAGGATGTAAACCATCCTTTTGTCCACTGTACCCACACTGTACATGCTACTTGCCCGACAACATGATGACTTGATGATCCAGGATCACTCAAAGCAAATGCCCCTTCTGACATAGACTCAAAAGGCCAACAGTAGCCTAACGCTACATGCCCCCAGCATTCATCTAACTTCATCCCATCACTTAAGCACTGTATCAATTTACATCATCATCAAAGAAGAATAAGTACAATAAGATATTTTTAAAAAGAACCAGATCACATTAATGGAATTATTACAGTGTATTGTTAGAGGTGTATTATTTTACTATTGTTGTTAACCTCTTATTGTGGCTTATTTATAAACTTTCACAGGTATATATGTATAATAAGAAATATAGTATAAATAAGGTTTGATGCTGTTTCAGTTTGGATCTGTCTGCAGTGCCCCCCAAAGGTCCATGTGTCAAAGGCATAGCTATCAGCGTGTGGTGCTATTGGGAACTGGGAGAACATTTAAATAGATGCGGCATACTGGGAGGCAGTTGCATCACTGAGGGCATGCCTCTGAAGGGGATATTGGGATCCCAGTGCTTTCTTATCAGTCTGTTTCATTCCTGGCTACTATTAGTGAACAGGGCTTCTCAATCATACATCCACCATGATGTAGTGTGCTGCTACAGGCTCAAAGGCAGAGGCCTGAATGACTATGGAATGCCACTTCTAAAATTGTTAGCCAAAATAAACCTTTTTTCTTTTTAAGTTAATTATCTCAGGTATTTTGTCAGTGATGAAAAGCTGACTAACAGGTAGTATCTATAGTGTCAGGTATACATTGAGGGGTCTGGGAACATATCACCCTTGAATAAGTGGAGCTACTGTACCATTACTATTATAACATCAAAACAATATAATGTCAAGTTTAACACTCGGCTTTTAGTACTAGATTCTTGGTTAACAATTACTAGGTTGTAATTTTATACTTATGGTACTTAACAAAGCAATGTAGCAACTCTAGTGCTAAAAATGAATTTTCTTTTTTACATAGGTACTTTAACCTCTAAACTCAAAATGTATGCAATACTGATAATTACTAAAAATAATACCTGCGATTGGAGAGTAAAATGTGTAACTAAGATTTTTAATATAAAACTTGCAGTCACCTCTGGTCTTAATATATTAAATCAACAGTTCAGAGCTGAAATAGGTTTCATAGGACAGTATACTCAGCTATAATTTAATGTGAAATTATAAGTGGAGACTGAAATTAGATATTGAATACTGACTCTATTAGTTATTCTTTGTATGACTTTATTTATTTATTTTTGGTTTTTTTTGAGACATGGTCTCACTATGTAGTTAGTTGAGACTGACCTGGAACTCACTATGTAGCCCAAACTGGTCTTGAACTCATAGCGATCCCCCTGCCTCAGCCTCCCAAGTGCTGGGATTACAGGCGTGCGCCACCACACCTGGCTCTTTGTATGACTTTAAACAATTACAGTACCTTAGCCTGTTACCTTACCTACAAAATAGAAAAACAGCATGCTATTTATAGAATATAGGTGCCTCATAGGGTTAGCATAACTAAATGAATTATTCATGTAGGTGCTTAACACAGTACCTATTAGGTATTTAAGATAACTTTTTAAGAAAAACTTTTTATTTTTTTGAGGCAGGGTCTTTGTTGAGACTGACCTGGAACTCACTATGTAGCCCAGGCTGGTCTCGAACTCACAGCGATCCTCCTATCTCAGTGTCCTGAGTGTTGGGATTACAGGAGTGCACCACCATGCCCAGCCAAGAAAAACTTTTTAAAGGTTAAAAAACATCACTTTTTTTTTTTTTTTACTAGTACATGTTTGCAGTACATGATTACATTTAACATGGGGAGTTGGTACATGGACACAACACATCTTAATTCTTATTTCTGCCTCCCTTTCCACCTTTCTCCATAATTTATGAATTAAAAGCTAGTCTAATATTATACTTGTTCATTTTGGAAATCTTTATTTCATTTTGGAAATGTACAAATTTTGAAGGAAGATTTACAAAAATTACCCTTTCCAGAAAACAAAAATGAAACAAGAAGCCATAGTTCTTTCAAAAACTGGCGGTAAATATCATTTCTACTGTTATGATTGCTACTAGACAGAATTTTTAATATTTGGATGTTGTACTTATGTTATATAACTCAATACTCACATTAACCTTGTTAAAACTGAGAGAATAAACCCAACTTACAAATACACAAACTAGTATACCAATTTGTTGTCAAAGAAAAATAACTCCTATGACAGCCAATTCAAACCTGAGTGATCCAATTCTTTGCAGTGAATGAAAGCAACTGAAATAGCTAATTAATTTTAGTCATAATCTATGGAAATTTTATTAAAGGTCAAATAAGTGATTAGATAATTTTTTTAAAGTACCTTATAATCACTAATACGAAAACAAAAAGTGTTCACAAAATCCACAGCTAGTACATACTCATTAAAATTTCAGTTTTGAAAATAGAACCCTCCCCTGCCAAAGAAGTTCTTATGATAAAGTATAATTCAGCTCCTAAAACCACAGTAACTTTCCTCGTTCCTTTGCTCATCCTCACTTGTGAGTTCACACCCTCCTTATCCCTATGTACATATCCCTATGCATTTCCACCTTTCCAGAAATACCAAAAAATAATCAACTTTGTACTACCTTAAATAGTGCTGCCTAATAAATAATTTATCACTTTACTTTTCATTCCTTCAGTACATTGCTTCATCTCAGACCCTGTTCTGTCAAAGCATTTTTGTTTATTTTAGAATTATAGGTTGGCAGTTCTTTTCTTTGAACACACTGCCTTCTAAAGTCTGTTGTTGCTATTGAGAAAACAGTTGCCAATCTATTACCCTTATGAAGGTAATCTATCTTTTATTTCTGGATGTTTTTGAAAACTTTTTCTGTTACTCAATTTTACTATCAATTGTCTAGAAGGAGATTTCTATGTATTTTGATGTGATTCTTTTATCTGTCTACTGGTATCATACTAAGTTTGAAAATTCTCAGATGCAGATATTAAATGTTTCATTCTTTTATTCTTCTGAAATTAAGAATTCATTAGATCAACCTCACTCTATCCTTCATGGCTATACAATATCTTTCGTATTTTCCATCCTACAGACAAGGTGTTATAACTTTAAATTTACTCAGTTATGTCTAATTTATCTTTAAAAACATCCACTAAAAATATTAATTATTATACTTTTTTCTCATTTAAAAATCTATTAAATTATTTTTTCAAATCGTCTAGTTGACTTTTTATTATATCCAGTGCAACTTTTTAAATTAGGACTTTTATTTATACAGCAATTGCTTTCTGTTCTTCCTTTACTTGCACTAAACTTTCCATCAACTACTTGTGATGGTTGATACTAACTGTTAGTATTTTAATTAGGACTTTTATTTATACAGCAATTGCTTTCTGTTCTTCCTTTACTTGCACTAAATTTTCCATCAACTACTTGTGATGGTTAATACTGTTAGTATTTTAATTAGGACTTTTATTTATACAGCAATTGCTTTCTGTTCTTCCTTTACTTGAACTAAACTTTCCATCAACTACTTGTGATGGTTAATAAATACTAACTGTTAGCGCAAGATGCCTAGCACATGAGTAAAGCACAATGGGTGTGTCCGTGGGTGATACTTTTGGAGATGATGAGCATGCAGGGAAGCACTGAGAAGGGCAGACCCACTCTAACTGTAGGTGGCACTGCCCAACAGGCTTGAACCCTGGACAGAATGAAGAGGGAAAGGAAGGTGTCCAGCTATGTATGAAAGCTCCATTCTGGCACTGTATTCATGTTCTCTTACTCTAGGGCTTCCAGCTTCCTGGGATGATCAGCTACTGGCTCTCCATCATGCGGACAGCCATTGTGGACTCTCCCACCTCTATCCTGTATGCCTATCGAATAAGTCCCCTAATTATACATAAAAGGAATAATTATACACTAAAAAGAATCAGGACTCCTAGAAGACATGGCTGATAACGTTTGTAACAGGAAATAAACACACTCACATGCATGCACATAAATAATGCTGTATTGATTCTGTTCATCTAACTGGATGACAGATGCCCCTACCATCCTCTTCTAATGAAAACATTTACTTTAGCATAAAGGTAGCCAGCTGTGTCTCAGTAGCTGTGCTGGGGAACTAAAGAAAGCAATCTGTGTTAACCTACTTGGCAGACAAACAGCAAGGTGTGCACACATGTGTCAAAGTATCAACAGGTAAGTTTTACCCACCCTTACACGATGCATTAGATTTTTGTATACTTATAATTTGATGTATTAAATGTTTTCTTTTGATTTTCCTTGTAAACTTAGCCCAATTCAGTACAATGTCACATGAAAATCTGCTTTCACAAGTTTGGGAGGAGGCCGAAAGTCAGTCAACAGGTGACCCAGCTACTGATGCAACAGTGAGATGGAGCAAAAAGTGACAAAGTGTGGAATGAAAGCCTTGATTCAGATGAGGAAAAAAACAATAACATAACTAAGTATGTGACTAGTCAAAATGCTACAAAATGGTCATATACCTGAACAATTCAAAGTTAGAACTTGGTCAGAAAATGTTACTAGGTTCTTGCCAAGGGAGAAACCTACTGGACAGAATGTCAACACTCATGTGAAAATAATTAATTGACTAACAGAAGGAATGAAAAAAGTATTACTCATTAAATCCACTTTTACTATGACAATTACATAAATGTTTTCCTCATACACAAAACAGAGAAAAAGCAGGTATTTACCATAAATTATATTATAAGCATTAATTATCTTCTCAAACTGGTAAATTAAAGCCCACAATCTCTCCAATACAAAAATGCTCTGATCAAGTATACCATTCCAAAAGGTCAGAACTTAGTTCTCAGGAGTTCAGCAAAGGCTAGTCTTGAAAACAGGCCATTTTGGGGTAATGTTCAGGGGTGATGATGTAATTTTTCCCTTGCAAAATCATGCAAGTTTTGTAGGCCAATGTTTGAACCCAGGTGAGTTGAATTCCAAGTTCTATGCTCTTCCCATAACATTTGTCTTTATACTACTCAAAAATTACTGGCTGCATTAGATGTGGTAAGAAACTGGACTGTAAATAAATATATAGCCTAGGCTGGCATGGAACTTTCAACCTACTGTACCTGCCTCAGCAACCCAAGTGCTGAGAGTATAAGCATGTGCCACTACATCCAGCTGTGATTATATAAAACAGATTTAACAATGTAGAAACAGTACCTTGTCTACATGGAAAATTAAATCCAGTTCACAGACATTTTCAAAACATTTGTCTAATGTTTCCACGAACACCTATGGAAAAAGACAAAAAGGAAAAATGCTTTTGAGAACTGTGTAAATACATTCAAATTTATTATCTATAAGTTAAACTACCATTATTTGCTGATGATATGATACTCTACATTGAAGATCCAAAAAACTCTACCAAAAAACTTCTAGACTTAATTGACAGATTCAGTAGAGTATCTGGATACAAGGTGTATATCCAAAAATCAATAGCCTTCTTATACACAAATAACAGACACACGGAAAGAGAACTAAGGGAAAATATTCCTTTTACAATAGCATCCAAAAAAATGAAGTATCTAGGAATCAATCTAACAAAAGAAACAAAAGATCTCTACACTGAAAACTACAGCACTCTGAAAAAAGAAATTGAAGAGGATATAAAAAAATGGAAAGATATCCCCTGCTCCTGGGTAGGAAGAATCAACATAGTGAAAATGGCCATACTACCAAAACTGCTATATACATTCAATGCAATGCCAATTGAAATTCCAACACTACATTTCACAGAACTAGAAAAAAAAAAATCCAAAAATTCATTTGGAACCATAAGAGACCTAGAATAGCAAAGGCCATTTTAGGCAACAGACACATGGCACCAGATTTAACAATTCCCAATCTGAAACTATACTACAAAGGCACTGTGATAAAAACAGCATGGTACTGGCAAAGAAATAGGCCTGAGGATCAGTGGAACAGATTGGAAGACACAAAAACAAATGCAGATGTACTCAGCTACCTCATCTTTGATAAAGGAGCTGACCATCCTCAGTGGAGGAAAGATAGCCTCTTTAACAAATGGTGTTGGAAAAACTGGATGTCAACCTGCCACAGATTAAAATTAGACCTTTATCTTTCACCATGCACTAAATTATAATACAGACAATTCTTAACTGAGAACTTAAAATTTTCCAACTTTTCAAAATTTACTCGTTTCCTTAAAACTAAAAACTATGAAATGTAGAATGAGTAAAAAAAAAAAAAAAAAAAAAAAAGACTTTTTCATGCAATGTTATTAACAGCCTGGAATAGCAAATATAAATAAGAAATATCCCAGGCAAAGTAAAATAAGATGGTTATCCTATGGGTACATGATCCTATGGGGCAAGGAGCAAAATCTAAACAAGTCTTCTTCCTTTAACTGCTCCAATTCACATAAATCAAGACTCAAAGTTCCTTTCTGGCATTAAGGTAGGGGGATAAGACAGGTGAAACAAGGTAGATATATAACCATATAACTACAGTCAACACTATCTTATCAGAGGTTGGCAAGCTGTCTGCAAAGGGTCATACAGACTAACAAAAGTAGTCACAGATAATTCATACACAAAGAAGCATGATTCTTTTTTTTTTTTTTTTTTTTTTTTTTTTTGAGACAGGGTCTCACTATGTAGTTGAGACTGACCTGGAACTCACTATGTAGCCCAGGCTGGTCTCGAACTCACAGCGATCCTCCTGCCTCAGCCTCCCGAGTGCTGGGATTACAGGTGTGAGCCACCACGCCTGGCTAAAGGCTCACGATTTTATTTTTAAAAAACTACAAAAACAGGAAGCAGGCTGAATTTGAACTTCAGACTGGAGTTAAACTCCTTAGGCCAAAGTCACTAGAATAGGCCTGTAATTACCAAGAATGCGTACAATTTTAGCCATAATTTCATTTGTGGGAAGGTAAATTATTAAAATGTTAAAAAGTGGGGCATATGTGCACCCTTGGAGGCTGGGGCAAGAGGGTCACTAGACCTCAGTTTAAAGTTTAAAAAGCAAAGCAAAACAAAGCAAAGAAAGGTGGGCTGCGGGATATAGCTCAGTACAAAATTCCTGGGCTCAATGTGAGGGGTGGGTGTGTTAGTGGGGCACACACAGGTGAGACATGAATCATGTACCTAACTTGTCATGTTACACAACTCCTGGAAACCTTGGAATCTCTAAAGTGGTGTGCTTCTTTATATGCCAATAAGATGGGAGCTCAGAGCCTCAAAATGAGGGCTGGTTGCCAGGAGAACCAACATGATGATTAGAGGTTAAGAACTTTCAGTTCCACTATACCCTTAAACCTCCAGGGAGATTAAAGAAGTGAAATGTTAAATTAATCATCAATGATTCAATCATGCCTACATAATTGAAGTTTCTATAAAAACTACAAGGACTGGGTTCAGGAGCTTTAGATAGCTGAATACATGGAGTTACCAAGAAGGTGGTACTCCAAAGAAGGCATGAAAGCTCTGCATCCCTTCCCATATATATACTTTGCCCTATCACTTATCTGTACTTTCTTTTTGTTTGAATTTTTTTTTAAGCTTTAATTGAGTTTATTGGTACATTTTAGGGATACAGTACAATTACATTCATTGTTGGGATCTTGTACCTCTACATGACAAGTCTTGATTCTCATTTTTGCCCCTTACCTCTGCCCTCCCTTCACCCCCTCCTCCCCTCCCCATCTACAAACACTTTATTTTCATCTTTTCATTCTCTCACATTTTTTTCTTTTCCCTTTTTACTCTTCCCCTACCCATCCCACCTTCCCTACACCTTTAGCTCCTTTCTTCCCATTTCTAAATGTGAGTAATCTTATTAGAAACTTATGCATTGTTGCAGATTATTCACACCAGGGAAACTATTCGGTATTTACACGTGTGACTTATTTATTTCACTTAGGAGTATATTTGCAATATGTATCCATTTTCCTATGAATGAATCTATTTTCTCGTTCTTTATGGCTGAGTAATATTCCATTTTATAGAAAAACCATAACTTCTTTATCCAGTTTCCAACAGATGGGCAAATGGGCTGTTTCCAAGATTTAGCTATGACAAACTGTGCCACTATAAACATGGGTGCACATACTTCTCTGTGATATGGTTCTTTTAGTTCTCTTGGAAAGATACCCAACAGAGGGATGGCTGGGTCAAATGGAACCTCCAGTCCAAGCTCTTTGAGGTATCTCCATATTGATTTCCATAGTGGTTGCACCAGTCTGCACTCCCACCAACAATGGAGGAGGGTTCCTTTCTCCCCACAACCCCGCCAACATTTGTTATTGTGTGATTTCTTGATAGCAGCCATTCTTTGTGGGGTGAGGTGGAATCTCAGTGTTGTTTTCATCTGCATCTCTCGAATGACCAGTGATGTGGAACATTTTTTCATATATTTTCTTGCTGCTTTCACTTCTTTGTATGAGAAATGTCTGTTCATTTCGGATGCCCATTTTTGGATCGGGTCTTTATATTTGGGGGGACTGATTGTTTTGAGTTCTTTATATATCCTTGATAATAGTCCTTTGTCTGAGGTACAGCTGGTAAAAATTTTTTCCCACATTGTAGATTGTCTCTTAGTTCTGCTAATGGTTTCTTTTGAAGTACAGAAGCTTTTTAGTAAGATGAGATCCCAGTTGTTGATTCTTTCTGCTAGTTCCCGTGCTACTGAGGATTTGTTCATAAAGTCTTTTCCTATACCAATGTCTTCCAGAGTTCTGCCTAACTTACCTTCCAGCAAGTTTAATGTTTCTGTTTTAATATTTAGATCTTTAATCCATTTGGATTTTAATTTAGTGCATGGCGAAAGATAAGGGTCTAATTTTAATCTGTGGCAGGTTGACATCCAGTTTTTCCAACACCATTTATTAAAGAGGCTATCTTTCCTCCACTGAGGATGGTGAGCTCCTTTGTCAAAGATGAGGTAGCTGTAAGTCCTTTATAATAAATGAGTAAATGAAAGTCAAGTGTTTCCCGAAGTTCTTTGAGCTGCTTTAGCAAATTAATCAACTCTCACATGAAAGTTATGGAAATCCCAATTTACTACTGTTGTCAGAAGTATAGGTGACAAAAACCTACCTATAACTGCAACTGACATGGAAGGCAATGTTATGGTACTGGACCCTCAATGTATGAGATCTGACACTATTTCAAGGTAGACTGTATCAGAATTTAATCAAAGGACACCTGGTTGGGGTATACCAGAAAAGTGCTTGGTTTGTGAGAGAAACTCCCACACACAAGGTGTCAGACATACTGAGATGAGTTGACTATATGAGGAGAGGGGAAGAGTATCTTTTTCCTTTTAACAGGCTAGACTCACGTGATAGAATTTTGTGACAGAAACATCACTGAGTAGTTACCCTTACTCCCAATTTTATTTCTCCTGAAGGCCTTTGTATTTTTGTTTTGTTTTTTTTAATTGAGTTTATTGGTACATTTTAGGAACACAGTACAGTTACATTCATTATTGGGATCTTGTACCTTTACATGACAGGTCTTGGTTCTCATTTTCTCCCCTTGTCCCTGCCCTCCCTTCACTCCCTCCTACCCTCCCCATTTACAAACACTTTATTTCCATTTTTTCATTTTCTCATATTTTTTTCTATTCCCTCATCACCTTTCCCCTACCCTTCCCACTTTCGCTACACCTTTAGCCCTCTTCTTCCTAGTTCCTAGTTCCATAGTTCCTAAAACTGTATTCATTCTGTCATTTTTTTGATACAACAGATAATCTTTATGAGACCAGAATGGGGTAATGCTACTTGAACAGTGAGTTCAATATTAACAGTGCGTTAAATAACTTCTTGGGTAAAAATAAGAATGGGAATAAAAAGAAGAATACTTCTCCTTGATAAGAAGAAAATATTTTTAAAAGTTTTAAACATGAACACTAATTTATAAAATCACACTCACAAATTACAAGAAATAAAGCAATTTATGCCCTCCTCCCATAAATTCTTGAACTTAACACATAGAAAATCACTCAAATCCTAAGAATATATAACATGATAAAACTTCAGAGTAAAAATATCTGTGTGATCAATGCCCAATTCAAGGTTATTATTTTGTATTTACTTGCAATACTGAGGATCAAAGGCAGGGCCTTACCCACACTGGGCCAGTGCTCTACCACAGCTACAACCAGTCTTCAAATAAACATTAGAGAAAGTCTCTCTTGTTATCCATCAGTCACCATCACTACAAAAGGTAAAGTATATATTTTGCCTATTTATGAATCGTATTTCATGG